AGTAGCATCGACGTGGGGGTTGAGGCTTAGGAAATCTGATGTAAAAATTTGCTTCCTACATTTAAGGACCACCCTAATGTACATACATACGTACATACAAATATTTAAATGTTTATGTGAATAAATGTGTATGACATTATGCAGTCTTGAGGGGGGGGGGCGAGGAATGTGGGTTGTCAGAGCGTTTTATAAATTGTCTCCTGATTGAGTTGGGAGATAGAAAATACTGCAACTCTTTCCAATGTACATACATATGTATGTATGTAAAACAAGCATCGTCCGTAGATAAAGCATATTAATTTCCGCTGTGTTGACATTACTTTGAAAGCGTTTGGCAGGCAGATGTCGGGTAAGAATTGTGTTGCGGGATTTAAATTCCAGCTAGGACGGTCTATTTTCATTCTGCCCTATTCCGGGTAATGTGATTCCTTTGTGAATGGTAGTAATCAATTTTTTTTTTGTCAATACTTATGTACATACATACATATGCACCAATGAATATACTTTTTTCAATTTATACTTTGATAAGTTGTATCGTTCGTTCGATTCTTGCTTTGCATAAAGAAATTAAGGCAGATATGTACTTTTCATGTTGTCAGCTGTTTAACCAACCGCTATCACGCACGAGATTTCTTTCAATATAAAACAGGGCTGCAAATCACTTACAAAAAAAAAAAAAAAAGGTGCGGTTCGGTTCAGCTTGTACCGGTACAATAACCGGTTCATGAGTATTATTAAACCGCGGTTCGGTTCGGGTAAAATGGTTAAATTTTTTTGAAGCTAAAGAAAACAAATATTACAAAAATATGACAAATCTATGTACATATATAAAAATAGAGGGTTTTGTTATTGAGATCAAATGCGAATATTTTTATATGTTTGGTAAAGTGGTGGAAAAATAATCGCGAAATTTTAACAATTTTGGCTTTTTTTTTGTTTTTAATGTTTATTTTTTTAAATATAGTTTCATCGTCTAACCTAAAGCGAATAAACCAAATTCGCAAAAATTATGAAATTTGTTGTGTGTTTTTAACAAGAATTTCTAGAAAAATTTTTACGTTTTATGTTGATTTTTGGCAATTTTTTTCAGATTTTCTTTGAAACATGTATGTTCGACAAATTTTTTGTATAAAAAAATATGCGTAATACTCTTAATAAAAAAATTTTTAAATCAATGCATATAACGTGAAATCAGTAAAATTTTAATAAACTTCTTCAAGATTTGGACAAGTCGTGAGTTTGTGTTGTGCTTGCAATATTAGCGAGAAATTTAATACAGTGAAAATCAACGGTAATTTTTAGCCACTTGAAACTTGCACATTATTAAACTAAAATTGTATACTCAAAAAACACATCTGAGAAAAATTTTTAAATTATGATGCATTTTTTTCTTTAAGTGTTCTATAAAATCTTAAGGTAGCGCGCACTGCTAACCACCACACCAAAGCGGCCGAGGATTTCAATTATGTACTTACTTCAAAAATAGCTGCACAATTCATCTTTATTTTCCTGAAAACTTACTTATTTATTTACGCACATACATACTTACCGCTACGTATTTGTGTATATGTATGAAAACTTACCGCTGCACTCGAATGTGTTGCAATTACGCTGCTCAATGTTGTAGCCTTCGCAAAACATGGTCGAATAGTTTTTCGTTGGTTTTCGGCGTTTATGCTGGCGTCGCGATTTACTTTTAGAATTTCCATGGCTTTCATTGCCATTGATCGACTGCTCGTCGTCATCCAACTTCAGAGTGCTGCCACTGCTGAAGAAAGTCTCCTCATTCACTCTGAGATTACCTTCGAAAGTGCGCATCATTTCATCGTTGACAATGCTGTTTTCACTTTTGGAATCATCAGCTCGACCATCTGCTTTATTGGTTTTAGCTGTTTTGCCAGCGATGGCCGCTGTCGTGGCAAACGTTCGCATTGCTAGTGTTTTGCGCAAATTGGATTTATGTGGCTTATTAATCTTGTAGTCGATGTGCTCGTTCGATGCTGCTGCGGCTGCTGCTGCTGCTGCAGTGCCAGCAACAGTCTCAATGCCTGAAAGAGTTTCCAAAGCTGCGGAATTGTCTGTTTTCGCCGCATTGCCGTTGAGCTGTTGCAAGTTGTCGCCATTCTCTTTGGAAATTGTGCCCTGCTGTCGCTGCTTGTTTTCGTCACTCAATGGCGCGCCAACCAAGTCCATGTCATTGAAGCCGCCTAACGCATTGTATGCGAGCCGTGTGTCGTCAAAGCCTTCGCTGCTGGGCGCATCGTAGGCCACCACATCTTCGTCATCTTCATCATCAGCGACTGCATTCAAGTTTAGCTGCATGTTGAAGTTAACCAACGGATTATCGAGCAAGCAGCGACGGAATCGCTGTTGCACACCTTTGCCGCATGTAACGCTGCAGAGCGTAAAATCACTCCAATCATCCCAGCCTGCAGCATGGAACCAAATCCGTTAGGCAGCCAGCAGCCGTTGGTAATGCAATTTCAGTTTGTTTGTGTTGTTGCCGATTGCCATTGTAATTGGAGCAAAAGTGTTTTTTTTTTCGTGTTCATTGATGTTTTTGTTGTTGTTGCACGTTGTGACGGTTCATTGTGAGTGCCGTCAGTATCCACCATCCGTGCGGCAGGTTGCAATATGTTGCCATCAATTCGTGTGCCGTGTGCGTAACGGTAATTGTCATAGAAGTAGCAGCCAGAGAAGCGTCAGGTGGATGCCACAGCAGTGTTGTTCGTTCAGCGTGCATCATTCATCGTCAGCAGCATCGTCATTGCCAGGAGGTGGTGGGGAGAGTGTTGTTGTTGTTGATGGTTGCGGAATCGCCATCGTCGTCGTTGTCGCCATCATGTGTGGCAAGTGAACCGGAAATGAGAGACACACAATTTGCTTTTTTAATTTCTTCTACGCCACGGACTGTTGGCAATTAAAATCTTAAACTATTTAAAGCCTCATAAAGCAGATGTTGGTGTATGGACAAAATAAAAGTAATTTATTATATCCCAATTGGAAACTACTTTTCGAGTTAATCCATGTTTTCTTTCAGCTTTTAATATCAAAATTGTTACGAGCATAATGCCTAATGTTATCCATTACTAAAGCGCGAAATGAGCACCATCTGGGCTCGAATCGCGGAATTCGATGTCGAAAGTAACTCGAATCGAAATATGATTTTGAGATCGCGGATTTCGATAGCGAGTGTGCTTCGCCCATTTAACTCGTATTGATTCGATTCAAAAACGAGTAATCAATCGATCACGAGTGCCGCGATCCGGGCCCTGATTATGTCTTACTAAAAAAGGTCTAAAATAATGTACCGAACACCGAACTACTCCGAGCGATTGCTCTACTTTATTTGGTAAAACGACTTAAAAGTATAGTATGTCTGATACCAAATGTATATTCTCAATTTCTTCTACCAAAAGGCGGCCATGCCTTTATTAAAGTAAGGAAAATTCGGCATGGAAGTGGTAAGAACCGCCGGATGAAGAGTATGGCATTATTACGTGCTTCTAATTCCCACTGGGATGGGACGCCGAATGAAACAAATACAACAAGAGGCAGTTTGTAGCTTCTTCCCCCATAGACTTTATTTTGCATTCTCATAAATCATATCTCAATAAATTTTTTTAAACTGTTTCTCACTTCCAAATACAACTCATTGTTCCGATTTCGTTTCTACCGAAAAATGCAACCTTCTCTTTGCCCTCTACGCACAAACACTAAGAAGAGGGCGATGAGAATGCAAAATTTTTTGTAGAAAAGAAATCGCCATAAGCATTTTCTTTTACTTAAAATTTAGTACCTTTTACTTAAATTTATTTGAACAAATCGAGTAAAAGGTCTGAAGCTTTAAGAAAAAGCATTTGCTTAGGTTTTATGCATATGGCCCATTGTTTAACTGTACAGTCAGTCACTCCAGTTCTGCTCGGTTCTCATTTGTCCAACTCATTCCATACGAACTCATTCTTATATTTATGGTTTTTTTTTTTCTTTCGAACCTTGTCTTCCATACTCATGATTACCTCAATTTGCGCAAGTTCTTTGCTAGAATACATACTTCAAATGTGCATACATATGTACATGTGTATGTAAATGTGTGTTAATTTATATATGTATGTGCGCGTGTCTTTTTGAGCGGTTGCAGGAGGACATGTAGGAAAGAAGGAGAAAACATAGACAACTTAAGAAAATTTAAAAATTCCAAACTTTTTCTGCATTTTTCACTAAAAAATTTAATATAACCAAATAAAAATCACAAATCAGGCTCAGCTGGTCACTTGCAAATATTATAAGCTTTCATAAAGAAATTATCAAATTAAGTAACAAAAAATTAAGGCTCGAGTGAATAGCGAACACTAAATGCCAGTTTTGGACCACCGTGCAGCAGGGGGTTTATTGTTCTCTTTCAGTGGAACTGGAAACTCAGCGTGCAACACGATCCTGAGCGCAACTTTCCCTGTGCTTTATAGATTGAACAAAGATTAGATAAAAGATTAAATAAAAGCCCTTAAGTGGGGTGCGAAACAAACTGGCGAAGGTTTTCAATATATCTTTTATAAGGGGCATTTTTATTTCTCATGTTCTGTGTTTAAAATACACTTCTGAAAAATACAGAGCTAATTTGAAGGACAGTTCAAGAAATAAAGCGCAAAAGGCGTCCTTTATTTTGAAAACAATTGTAAATGACAGGTGGTTAAAATAGAGGACTGTCCTTTAAAATAAAGGACGGATGGTCACCGTACTTATAACCTTAAAACTGAAGGCAGTGTAATGCTAATAAAAATAGTCCCAGTGTAATGCTGGGTAGGGCAATTGCATTGTAAGAGGATCGAATATAATACACAGTGTATCAGTTCTTTGTATATGTTTTGTCATAGGTGCCTATTTTTTGGTTTCAATGATATGCAGTCTAGGCCACGAAACGGTAAATGTAAATGGGCCTTTGCTTGTGTTTAGTCCAAATTGGAAACTGGTTACAAAAATTCAGCTCTAGTTTATTGTGTACTCTGAGTCTAACCCGATATCTTACAGGGTACATAGGAATGTACGAGCGCGTGCTTTTTGACTACCTCCCTAAATGGACGGCGTTCTCATAAGGCTGGCGTGATTTATGCGAACTCTTGCTGCTTTGCGTTTTTCTGCAAATTCAGCCACTTCGACTTTCTTGCATGTTGGAATTTTTATCCACTTTATTTCACCATCATTTTCATTCCTTTTTTGCGACCGTTACCTTGTGTTATGCGTTACTTACAACAACAAAATTACTTCTACTATTCTGTTTATGCTTCCAGACCACACCATTGTATTGAGAGTCAGCTGAATTATGCGTTTACTGGATGCAGCAAGGCTTGGAGTTTCTTATGCTTGCCAGCCAGCTTTTTCTTAAGCTAGCCATCCAAGTAATTTTTAAGCAAAAAACACAACCGACTTCAATTCTCATATAAAAATTTAAGATCATCGTTAATTTCTTCCGATGAAAAAAAAATACATAAAAAATGTATATATATATATATATATTCCGAGGAATTGATAAGCTTCTCTTTTTTTTGAAGTCGGTTAAAAAAGGTTTGTTCCACATGCTTACCGGACGGTTTGGGTAATTAGAGCGGTAATTATAGGAACGCAAAGACCACATTTCTTGCCCGGAACCAGCAAATAAGCTCTAATAAGCAATGATTTTATGTGTAAGTATCTTATATGGCTAATAACATTAGCAAATACCTAAATTTCTGAACCTTTAGTGCTATTTTCCATTTTTATATTTTACAAAATTTGCTTTCGGATGTAAACAAACAGCAGCTGTTATTTCAAATTGACTTCTTGCACATTTCTGCCCGGAAAAAAGCCCGCGCTGTTTCGGGCACGAAGAAGAAGACATTTACGATCCAAAAGTGGAAGGTATTCGCACTCCATTACCAATTTTTCTGGCGTGAGGAACGCTGTTTTGCCCGCAAGAGGGATTCCGCGTATGTAACGTATACGCCCCGTAGCACCCTACGCAGTCATCTAACACGTTTACTCTCACGCCTCAACCATAGAAGCCATATTATTTAAAAAATATAAAAAAGTAACAAATTAAATTAAATCTATTCAGTTGAAATAAAGGACTATTTCGAACCAAAATTTGTATTGACATAAAAATGTTGTATGTATACTTGTTTATTTTTGGCTCAGGCATTACATTTTGGGCGAAATTCAAATTCAAATTCAAATTCAAAACCCATTATCGCAGCCTTTATTGATGATTTGTTTAAAAGTAAATGTCACCCATGTTTAGTTTTCATATAAAACTTTGTACGCCTGCGAGTGATGTATTTAATTAAAAGTGCAGGATTTGAAAAATTTTGATAAATGGAATGTAAACGGGATGCAGTATATGTATGCACCATTCAATAAAGAGCAGCCAACACATACATACATACATATGTATGTATGTACATGCATACGGGCAAATATTGACAATATATGTGCTGGTTATTTGCGCTTTACGCGCCAGCTAAATTGATTTTTAATTAATAAACCCCTGAGCTACAGTGCAAGTATTCATTTGAAAACTAAACATAATGTACATACTACATACATACATAGATACATACATATGTAAGTACATATATATTTTATAACGTGAAAAATTAGAAAATTTACTGGGTTTCCCTAAATGAATTCTGAGGTATGATTATACACAATTTGTTAATTTTAGAAATAAACACAGAAAGAAAGAATTTTAAAAACACAAAACCAACAAACTAAGCTAAATTTAATCACGAAATAGGCTAACAAGTAAGGCAATGCAATGCATGCATAAAACGTGAGCTTCAGCTCCGACTCGATTTTCAGTACAAATTATTGAGCTTGAGTTTACTGTTTCAGTGCAAATATTGGGCCTCATGCATAAAAAGTGAGCTTAAGCTCCGACTCGTTTTTCAGTACAAATTCTTGAGCTTGAGCTCACCCTTTCAGTGCAAAAATTGAGTCTGAGCTTAAGCTCACTTTTTATGCATAAGGCCCATTGAGTCTGAGCTTAAGCTCATTTCTATGCATGAAGCCCAATATGCACAAGCTTGGGAAAGGGGCGAAAAACGAGGAAACTTGGTAGTAGATTCCTGCGAATATGTGAGCCAAAAAGATCCCAATTTGAAATTTTTCGGATTCCTTTTTTAAATTAGAATGGTGAATGCACTACGCTGGGGGTTGAGATGTTGGCAAACTTTAGTTTCTTTATATTCTATGCAACTAGTATGTACTCGTACTTTGAAAGATGTTTTGGTATTACGAATTATAAAAAAAAAATGAAAAATTGCTGAAAAGCACTGCACAAGGAATTATAATTAAAGCAGCATTTTAAGCAAAAAAATATGTAGATACATTTGAAAACATTTGAGAAGTACTCTTTATGAATGGCTTTACTTCTTGATCGCACACCTCAAAAATAGTTTAATTACTTCAACTAAATATATTTTTATCAACAAAAGTTGACCGAATCATATTTGAAATTCGGATGAGTAGCAAGCTGTACGGATAGAATTCATATATGTATGTACATAAATAGGGCTTACTTTTTAATTTAAATGAAATTTTTGAAAGTTTCCATTTTCTGCCCTAATATTTCCGAAAGCATGGCCACAATTTTAATTTTCTGAAAAAAAGTCTGCAATAGTTTACATACACACATACGCGTAAACAAAAAAGCTCTACGAAAGAAAGGATGCAGAATACGTATTCAGAAAGAAGTAGAGAGATTTCATCTAAAACTTTACCATTTTATTTTTATTTAAACAATTATAATGGATGCAAATAACAAATAATAGATACTCGTATGGCCAGTAATAATCTCTTTCCGTAGAAAAAAATGGAATAAACAAGTGCAAGTTCATTTATATAAAATATGTACATTAGAGTGTTCCAAAAACAGTAAAGTCGGAATTTTAATGCCGCCACCCCCTCGGATTGTTCTACGTATACCGAAAAAAATATACCCAAATATTTTGAAATCGAAAGATATTTAGGCAGTGCTCAAAGCGCTCAAAGTTTTCCATGTTTTTTTTATAGAGGGAGGGGGGGTGGTTTAAAATTCTTGAAAATCAATATTTTCCGATCGAAAAACTGTGGTTCTCTTCAGGAGATTCCCAATAATAATACCCAATTGTTTCTTCAACTATTTTTTGTTACTAAAGATTTTTTATTCGGCGGATTTATAAAATATAGCTACCATTAAAAAATGGTTAAAGAAGTAATTGTGAAAAATATTGATTTTCAAGAATTCTACATTATTTCTACGAAAAGCTGTTTTTTCCCATATACAATACATGGAAAACTTTGAGCGCTTTGAGCACTCCCTAAATTTTTTATTTATTTTTTTCAAAATAAAAAAATAGGGGTATACTTTTTTCGGTATAAAATAATCCTAGGGGGTGGCGGCATTAAAAATCCGACCTTATTTTTTCACGTACATTTTTGGACCACTCTAATGTTCACACATACATACATATTTTTGTCTGCTTTGAATTGAATTGAATTTAACAATAGAAATGAGTGAAAGCAAGAAGAAAGTAATAACAGACAGTATACATACATATATACATACATATGTATATGATTGCAAAAGTGGAGCTAATTTTTTGATCATCCATACAAAGCAAAGCGTTTTATGTACAATTTTTCATCTAATAAATATGTACGTATTTTAAGCAATACTCATGGAATCCGCCTATTGAAAAACTTAATTTAAATACATTT